ACCACTGAGCCATCTCTCCAGCCCCTGAAATTACATTTTATGTATAGACTGACAGACACCCACTTAGAGAACACTTACCCTGTAATAAAATCGTGGAATGGTCCTATAGAGTTCATTTGTGGTTTTCCTACCACCTTTCCATTCTGAGTAATATTTGGTAAATAGATCCATTTCTTCATCTTTTAATTCCTGTTCACTTTTTTTTCCTAGTTAACAAAAAGAGAGAAAAACATCTCTAAATATCAAGTAGTATTTTATCAGCATTATTGCTACAGTGTAGTTAAAAGAGCTGAGACATCCAAAAGACTTAAATATACATAGATACTGAACTTACTTTCTTGAAATACCAAGAATCACTGCCTTCTGCTGAGACAGCCTCCCCTATACATTCAATCATTAAATTTCCCTGTACAGTGAGGGCCAACATCTCAGCATGTTCCCCGAACCTGTGTTTGTCATTAAAGCTTGTCTCTTCCTAAAGTCACTGTCTCACAGACCTTCCAAGTGTTTCCATTCATCCTATCAAAAACATTGGCTTGGGCTTGGAGTGTAGCTCAGTGGTAAAGTACCTACCTAGCATTTGGAAGCCCAGAGTTTAATTCCCAGCACTGGAAACAGTAACACAAACACCAGAGTACTTACTGTATACAGCACTGTACTAGACATTGTGGTTAGGGGAGTAAGCAAACAGGCCCAGCTCCTGACCTCATTGAGTTTCAGCTTCACAATCAGTTTTTTTCTAATATAAAAACAAAACAAAACCCTGTCTGAAGCTGAAAACTCAGGGCTCTATTAACCTCCAAGATGCCTGCTGTTGGCAGGTTACTTTCTCATGGAGTCGTCTTCTTTACTTAGGATGAACATTTATGGAGACAATACACTAGGAACAAACTCTGGGTCTTGCGCATGCTTTGCAAGCACTCTACCACAGAGCTATAACCCCCAATCCCCAAACTTCTTTATTTCCCATGTTAATTTGCCTATCATCCATCTATCATCTATCTATCTATCTATCTATCTATCTATCTATCTATCTATCTATCTATCATCTATCAATCAATCATCTATTTATTTTTAATTGAAGGTCCCTTACTGGTCCTGTTTCCATGAATGGGCAAGACCAAGGGAAAAGGGAGAGCACCCAGCTGGCACAGGGAGGGTCATTTCTACAAACAACTGGACAGACAAGCATAGTCACTAGTGTGGTTAGAAGTTGGCAGCATGAGACAGGGAGGGACAGATGGGAAATAGGGGTATCATTTAAAAAACACAGACCCCCTCCCCCCAAACTGGGTTTCTGGGGAGGAACTTGATCTGCTTCAACCCAAGTGGAATCAAAAGATCAAAAGCAGTTTGGGAAGGCCAAGCCATCAGGACAGTCCAGAGGGTTGGGGGGACTTTTGACCATTGGGTGACGTCTTCCTGCTGGGATCCCCCCAGCCCCTCTGGCCTTGCAGGAAAAGATAGCTTGCAACATCCAGGAGCAGGTCTGGGGCTGCTCCATGCTCTAGGCAGGGGGCTTGAGGCAGCTCACAAAGGCTCGCCCTCCAGGACATGCCAGTGTTGCCACCTAGTTCTTATGCCAGGGTGCAGCGGTCCTTGACCACCTTGTAATTCATGCCTGATCCCTGTTGGCTTCTTCTAGATGGCATCCTTGGAGCTGGCACAGATCATTTTGCTCTTTAGGGATGCACTCTCAGGAGCCCAGAAGATGAACACCAGGTCTTCCTTCTTGGTCCCATAGGTGGTGTCACAGAGAGCACGGCAGCAGTCCTTGCCTGGCAACATCTTGATAAAGGTGGTGTAGAGGTCACCACAGTCTGCCCCACATCGCCTAACAGGATCTCCTTGTTCTCCTCCAGGACAATCTTGTCCTCACTCGGGCAGGACGGCACTGCCTTCTTGTATTTCTCTGCTTCCTCTGGCATGGAGGACTTGCACAATCTTGTCATTGAACATTTTGATGACACCATCAGAGACAGCCACAACAGAGGCCGGGTTTGCAGAAGTGAAAGGGAGATAAGGAGAGCCACAGCTGCTGCCAGGATCTGACTCATTTATTTTTATTTTTTTATAGGTAGGGCCCTACTCTGTAGCCCAGGCTAGCCTCAAACTGTGGCAATCTTCCTGCCTCAGCTTCCCAAGTGCCAGGATTATATTTGTGAGCCACCATGCCTGGCAAGATCAGAGATCTTATCTGCTCA